ACGGATCTCTGGAAAACCTTTGGGACTTCTAGAAACCCCTTAAGTTTCCTGAAAAAGCTTTTAAACTACATAGTTGGAAAGAGCATAAAATTCTGAACAAAATGAGATATCACTTATTCTAAGCCATAAATTCGATAATCTAAAAATTAGGTTTTTATGGTAAACCATTTTTGCTCGAACAACTGTTATTTTTTCACCTTTTTAAAGTAATTACTAAAATTATGAGCAATACTTCATTTTGTGCTCTTTCCAACTATGTAGTTTAAAAGCTTTTTCAGGAAACTTAAGGGGTTTCTAGAAGTCCCAAAGGTTTTCCAGAGATCCGTACAAGACGCCAAACTTTTGCGACCGGATTCGGATAGATCACACTTGAATGTCTATGAAAAAGTACACGTCGTTTTATTCTTAAGCCACACACTCGAGAACGGCGTCACACAATATGAACTTCTAAGATCCTCAAAAGACCTTCGATGTCGCGCTGAGGGTCCAAGGTAAGAACGATCTGACCGCATTATCGGATAGACCATGCAATGGACCACATAGGATGAAAATATCCCTGTTCCATCACGTGCCTGCACGGAGAAACAGAATCTTTATTTTTGCTCTCCACTTTTTAGACGCTGACTTTCCATCGAGCGGACTCTAGAAAACCGTCCAGAACTTAGAAAGTAAAAGTCCTAGACAGCTCAAAATTTGAATTTATAGATTTTCACACATGCTGAACAAGATAGGACTAGTTAGAAGCAAATCTGAGACATCGATTGAGCATGGTCTTATGGTAATCTGTCGTTTTTCTCGGGCAATAGCTCCCAGATGAATGGGCGACAGATTCAATTCAATCAATGATTTTGCTTTTAGGATAATCTGAGTACTTTATCCACACTCGGATCGTGTATACCATATCCACGCCAGTCTACGTCATCACAGGTAAGAATAACATATTCGAACTAATTTTTCGTAATTATTCAGATTCATCTTTCGATGACACTTACAGACAATTCAACGAAAATTCCATCTTTAGCATGTACGCGTTTTCCTGCTTTCTATTATCCATTAGAGCACGTGGCATAGGATATATGAAGATACTGGTTTTCCATAGCCACTTGACTTTATAGTTCAGAAAATGCATCATGAGCACACTACTTGACTTGTTTTTTTCTGTGAGTGGTATTGATAAAAGTTCCTTTTCGTCGTTGATGTCAACACAACATATTTCTCGAGCCTTTAGTTTTTGTGAGTGAGTTTTCTTGTACTATAGATCTAAAAACGACTATAAAAAACGGAAGAGTAGTGGAGTATTACAAAATTCTGTATGTATATGTGTGAACAAGTTTTTCCTGCTTTTTTTCAAATCAAAGTTTCTACACCTTGAATCATGTTGTTTGCCACAACCTGATAACAATATGAACTTCAAAAATCATATTTTTACGTCATACACTTTTTTTTTGTTTATCTAGGATGATCTGAAAAATCCATTAGGTCAAGTAAGCTGAACAGATGTTTTTTCCATATTATTATTATTATTGCGTTTCGTCCTCTCTCGACCGAAGCTGTTTGAGAACATGCATACTGCAACGATGTTTTTCCAGCTCTTTCTTTGTTTCGCGGTCTTTTCGAGCAGCGTGAGGTCTTCAATCGCCTTCAGTTGATTTGGTAGATTTAGTTGTTTTGAAAGATCTGGTAACTGTGTTGTTATTAGTTGGAGATCTTTGTCGATTGTTATTGGTAGGGTTGATCTTGATCGACCTCTAAATCTACTGGCTATTGTGTTGAAGTATTGAAGCATTGCATATTTGGCTGGAGTTTTGTTGATCATTCTAAGAACGTGCCCAAGCATTCTCCATTGGGCAGTACGTATGAATGATGCCATTTCACCGGCATCGCATCGCTTGTATAGTTTTTCGTTCGAGGTGGTCTTCGAATAATATATACCGATTACTGAACGAGTTGTTTGCGATGAAATGCTTCAAGTTCGTTGATTTCTGATTGAGTAAGCGTCGAAGTGCACATGTTGTACGTTAGGATCGGCTTTATGTACGCATTGTAGAGTCGGATTTTTTCCATATCATACATTTATATTCTTGCTTTCGTACATTTCAATAACAGTCGACTCTTGGATAATAACATCTCACTATGAAATCTTTGCTTAAATAGATAGGATTTTCTTCTAAAACTGATAAACCAATGGATAATTATAGATTAGGAATGTATTGTTTTAATTTTTCTGATCAATAGCAAAGAGTTTTTATATTACTTGATTACCTTTAACTTTAAAATAATGCCTCTACAGTAACCATCAAACTCATAGCCTATAACACCAAACTAAAATCTGTTTGCTATGCCCTGAAGGCTTATGTTGGAATAGTATCTGCTTATACGACGCGTACATCCGTAACAAAGTCTTTTAAATGTGTTTAGTTAGATCCAATTGGATCTAAACTGCATTTTTGGTTTTTTCATTTTACCTAGCTACCTTTGTATTTTTTTTGCTTTCCCATAACAAATTCTCCTTTGAAAGTGCAACACACAACGTTTAATTACTCCAATATTCAAAAGAATTAGTAGCGTTCGAAAAGACAGATAAGCAGGACAGTTTATTTGTTTAAGATAACTTCTTAGATATTACAAATCGTGTGTTTATTGTAAATTTGTCTCATACTGACTGTTGTTTAGTTAATTTTCAAAGTATGTTGAATTTTTATTATTGACTTTAGATGGGCACATCGCTGAGAAAAATGCAGGAAGAATTAGAAAATACTGAACAAAAATATCATGAAGCCACTATAGAAGTGGAAAAAGCACGACAAGCTTGTGATGTTGAAATGTGTAAGGCGAGTATATTGAAGTAAATTCAGTTTAGGAATCATATAAAATAGATTGAATCTTATTCTCATATCTAGGCGTGCGATAAAATGGAACGGCTGGAAAAAGAAAGAGGGAAAGAAACGAATAAATTTATCAATTTATATGCTCAAAGCATCCTAATATTAACAGATAGAACGGTCACAGTATGTCAGCGCGTTTAATGGCTAAAGTAATAAACTTGTTCATTATTTTCTTCATTCTAGCTATCAAAAGAGTTATCTAATTTAAGAATAATTCCAGAGGAAGATATTCTATCGGTAATTAAACAATACAACGTCAAAGTACCACAAACAGAAATTTTATTATATGACATTTATGTATGTGAGTTTTACTGATACTAAAATTCTACATATGGTAATTAATTCAGGCAGAGGACGAACGTAATGTAATGAGTCAAGAACGACGTTTAAACAGTTTATCACATTGGTTGCAAATGTTAAGCGATGATTTAGAAAATCAACAAAAATCGAAAGATGGTATGTGCTCGTCATCTTTGTCGTTAATAATAGATGATGAAACTAACACTTCATCTGATGACGGTACTTTGTCATCACCTACTTATTATAATCATCTTAAAAACATCATACATACTCACTTTTCTGCTAGTCTCTATATTTATATTCTGCTAGTTTCATGTTTTATCAAAAATATAATGTAAAATTTTTCATCTCGCATTGCTTATCTTGACATGCGATATAAGTGATAGGTAAGAAAAGAAGTAGTCAATTTAGGTTTAAAAGTTCGACAGTAGAATTTGTGGAACAGCGCTGAACATTTTTTCTTACAGCTCACATATCTATGTGTACCTTTGCGTGGATATTGTTATTTTATTTATAAACTCTCATTATATTTTACAAAGTGGATCGTAATACCTTGAATAAAGTCTTATTTTATTATAGGCATTGACTCATTGCACAGTTCTGATCGTCGGAAACAAAGTATTTCAGAAAGTGTCAATTCAGATCAAATACATTTTAATAGACAAAGTGTAGGTGAAAATTGTCTATGTTCTAGTTTACGTAGCTTAGTTGAACAGTTGATTTTATTTAGGTTGAATTTCTGCTTTGTTTATTTGAAGCGAGTTTCTTTAAAATACAATCCGTTTATAATCGTTTAACCGGTGCACATGAACCATATTTCAGAGACGCAGCAAGTTTAACAGAGACCTATACGAAAGATGTGCGTACAATTACTAATTCCAATGCTTCTGTACATAATCTTCAATATTCTCTTTTTTTATTTTTTAGGGTTGTCCGACCACAATGTTAAGAATTTCACATGAATCAGTCACTGAACAGCCTTCTGCTCCAGTGGAGCTAAAAAGCAGAAATCCTTTTCCAAGCAAACAGTTCTCAGCGACTATTCCTCAATATCCGCAAAATGTGCATCCGTCAGCTCCACCATGCATTGGTTTTGTTGATGCACAACTTGCATCTGCTTATTCACAAAATCCCGATCATCATGATAAACTATACCCCGTAATAGCTTATAGTGAGTAGCGCGTAACCATCGTTGTATTTTTTAATGGTAGTTAAATCCACACGAAAAGAAGCACACGTTTTTGTCTATCCACTTAAAAACTGCATAGAGTAGTTATAAGTTTTACTTCACCCTAGACCAAAGTTTTTGTGAAATCCGATGAAAATCTTACTCAATTCTTATATAAGATCTTCCATGGAAGTAATAAGAATTGCACTGGATCTTATATAAGAATTGAGTAAGATTTTTATAAGATTCTTAGGAGGCTGTCCTTTTTTGTCCTTGATCTTCCGGACATCCGACCAAGTGACGGAATGCTCGGAATCGGGTCTGTATAGCATAAAATCGTTTTTACGGATCTTCCGAATGAAAGTCGTCCGGGTGTTCGGAATGAAAAGTACGGATGTTCATAACAGAAATGGTCGAAGGTTCGTAAAAAGAAGCGTGGGGTGTTGGTAACAAAACGTGAGGGATTGTTACGAACATCCAGACATTTTTGTGTACAAAAACACTAAAAAGCCTTGGCTCATGCCGCTCCGTGTACCTAGACGACTTTCATTCCCAACAACCAGATTTGTTTTGGTTATCGTTCCGAACATCCTCCTTTTTTCATTCCGATCTTACAAACTTTTTCAAAAAAACGGAAGCCCGGAACGGACTACTCTCTCCGATGTCCATAAGAAAAAGCAAGGACGAAAAGGAACGCGGCCGATTCTTAGTTAGTGCTTCTAAGATGCTTACATGCCTGTTACAAGTTTCGTGTCGAAATCTTTTATAAGATCCGATGGCTAGGGCACGTCAACCGACGTTTGAGCGCCCGACATTTGAGCGCCGACATTTGAGCAACCCCGACATTTGAGCGCCCGACGTTTGAGCGACTCCGACATTAGACACTTTTCAATATTTTGCCGATCAGGAAAGTCGAATGATTATTCACTTCGATAACGATGATCAAAACAATTTTTTTGTCGTCCGATTATGAACTGAATTATTTGGAGATCTGTAGAGGGTGAGGCTGTGTGAGGGTGAGCGGGGGTGAGGATGAGGGTGAGTAACTATAAGTGATGTGTTTCGCTCAATTGTTGGAGTCCTTCAGATGTGGTCGTTCAAATGTGGGTCGCTCAAAAGTCGGTCGCTCAAATGAGGGTGAGAGTGTTGGGGGGAGCACTTGGTACTGAACTGTCGTTATTATTCAAATGTCGGTCGCTCAAAGGTCGGGTCGCTCAAGTGTCGGCGCTCAAAGGTTGGTTAATCGCTAGGGCATGCACTAACTTTAGCAGGGCTTGTTTTCAATGATGAATAATTTCTAACACTTGTTTTTTGTATGTTTGACGCAGATTCATCCTACAGATGATTAGGTAACAGTAAAGGCTTGCTGCAAATTGCTGTTCTTAATAAATGATTTAATGCTAAAAAATGCACCATGTTCTTAAAAATATATGCACCTATGTTGCCCATAACTCACGCTTGTAAGTGTCCACTTTTCCTGTTGAAAATGTAAAACTTTTAAATATATACAGGTAGTAGGAAAAAAGACTCGCATAATTCTATACAAACACTATTAAATATTTTTGTTTTTTATTGTGCTTCCAAGTGCCTGTTATCTAAAAATATGTTGATAACAGCTGCTGTGAATGATAATGAATCTCGTTTAGATATTTTTTTGTTCATCTATAAACAGTCTCGTTCATTGGATCACAATTCTCTGAGGAAATAACGTACTCGCATAATCGAAAATGCGTCGCATATATGTACCGCTGATTACCGGCCTTCATTGTCATTTTCGTCCTGATTGTATAGTAATTAGTATTTTAGTGAGTAAAAAAAGAATTTACACACACGCATATATACAAAGCTAGTTTATATAATTTTTTGATCAAATTGATGGACTTTTTTAATGCTTATATGCAAAAAATATACTGAAACTTTCTTTTATTTTGTTTTAAGATAATGGGAATAGAAATCGTCATCAGCCAATTCCATCGCACATAGCTTATCAACCTCCTGAGAGATCCCCATCTCGTTCTTCGACAAAACCATCACTTGTTCGAGCCACTAAGGATTTTAAAGCTAGAGAAGCTGATGAACTTAGTCTAGAAACTGGTAAATTAAAAAATGTGAACAAATTTTTTCGAAATAGTGACTTGTGTTTTGTCGATTGAATTCGTAATAATAGAAGTTTTGTATTTGTAGGTGACGTGATTTCATTAATTGGAAAACGTTCTGATGGTTGGTACAAAGGCAAGTTAAGAGATCAAGAAGGATTATTTCCCGGGAATTTTGTTGAAGAAATTTAATGTTAACTAGCTTAACTTTATTGTTGCTGTTGTTGCTTTTATTCGATAATCAAGTTGATCTTATGCTATGAACATTAACCAGTATTTTTAAGTTAAAAAAATTCTTTTTTTTAAATAATCGGTTTTAATGAATCTTGTTCTGTTTTTCTATTTTCCTATATGTATGTTATATAGGAAAATATGTATCTATACATCCATTTTTAATACTAAATCTAATTGGCAAATATATATATCACAAAATACGGCAAAAAGTTATGTTTATTTAGCACACATCTAATGGATGAATACCAATCTATTGGTTCTTATATAGATTTAATTTCGAATCGAAATTTATTAAAATCATTCATTCAAATAATCGAACGATTGAAATATCATAATAGAAAAAAATGAAGAATGAAGATGCAGTGAGGCACTTGTTATTACAGTGTGGTATCTCTCTGATATCTGGACTTTGTATTTCGGAACTGCGTTTTGCTGAAGAGTTTGTAGTAAGTACTTATGCTGAGTGCACGTGTAATGTTTACCCGTATAATTAGTTGAAAAGTATTTTACGCCTCCTTCTTTGAACACGACGAGATATTTTCAAAATTTGTCTTCTGTATTATCTCACTAAAACCAAATTTTCTGCATAAATAAATTTTACACCTACTGCATTACGTTACTGACACTCTAGATTGCTTCCTAAAATATTGTCCTTGAATCATATACATACGTATCCTCGGATCATATGATCCTCGCTTTGCTCATAAATACAAACTACTCATTGTAATGAATCACAGTCTACAGTGAGTCAATGGTCACAGTTCATGTAAATTACCAATCATTCAACCATGAAACATTCTCATTTAACGTATTACATACAAATTTTAAATCTTGGATGAAAAAGAAACTATCCACATTCATAGACAAAATCCTATGTACTTCTTATCTGTTTTCTACTCCCTATAGAATCATAAACATTTCGGACCCTGTTATGATCAGTTTAGGATCCTAATAAGTTCCTAGCAGGAGGATCTTTGATGTAAGGTTCCTGTCAGAAATCTGGAGCGGCTTCTAACATTTAAGATCGTGCCAGAACTTTTTTTCTTAATAATGAAGTATAGTTAATCTCAGGTTGAAATAACAAGATATATACGAGCCCGTTTTAAATGTGTTTTAGAGTTACAAAGAAAAGCTTGGTAACTATTGGTCAAACTGAGGCTGTTCATACATTGCAAGAGCGTATTTTTATATTATAATTCAGTCATCGCATATTCTTGTTAGGATCCTATTTAGATCCTAACAGAAGCCTAGCAAACCCTGCGACTTTCCGATGTACCTGGTTTCTTTAGGATTCTGTAAGCTTTTTCTAGAATCTTACCAAAAAGCAAGCTAAATCCTAATGAGATCCTACCAGGATTTCCCAAGGATCCTATCAGGAAATGTACAGGCTTATTACTAGGAATATTGTGTAATTCTAAGTGAAGCCAGGTTCAGCTAAAACATTTCAGCATACAACGATATAGTAGCGATACATTAAAGGGTGGGCCAGAAGTCCTGACTCGATTTGAATAATAAATTTTTCTATAGTGAAACAAGTGGTTGTAAATTTGTCTCTATGAAGAAAAGATGCAGTAAAAAACGCTCTACAAAATGACGATTGA